GCACATGCACCCAGCCTGAGTTTTAAGCCACTGGGTCTGGGACTTGAACCGCGGTCAACTACATGGGAGTCCAGCGACATAACCATTATGCCAACTGCTGGCATAATGAAAGTGAGAAAGCAAGTTTGGGACTTGAACCGTGGTTGGCCATGTGAGAGTGTCCAGCACCTGCCACCTGCTGGCCCCTATTTATTTATTTATTTTAATTTGACCAGAGAGGGACAGAGAGAGAGAGAGAGAAAGAGAAAGCAAGCCACCAGGTCCGGGACTCGAACCGCAGTTGGCCATGTGGGAATCCAGTGTTCTCAACTGTCACACCACCTACCGGCCCCAGTAATAAATAATTATTAAAAGAAAAAGGGGGGGAACAGCAGATGATGTAGAGATTATGTCACTAGACTCCCACATGGCTGACTACAGTGCTAGTCCTGGACCTGGTGGCTTGAAAATCATGCCAAGGGTATGTGCACGCCAAGATCCTGGGAGAAGCATGGAGAAGGCATTGCAGCATTGCCATCCCCCCCCCCTTCCTTCCCGGGGAGTGATTTCTCACTTTCCCTCTCACTGTGGCTGTTTCTCTCTGGTGAATGCATGCGCCCTAAGGCAAAAACCTCTAAAAGAAAAAAACGACCTTCTCAGGCCTTTGCTTACTCTGAAGCAGCAGCTGCACTGGGGAGAGGGGGGGCTCCCGGCTCCCGGAAGCACCCCTGTCCTTTTCTATTGGTGTAGCTTCCCCTAGTCTAGCCCAGTCTTGGAGGGCCTGCCAGGGGTCAGGGACTGGGCAAGGGTTGGGGTAGGAGTGGCCTGGGTTGCAGATCCCTGGTGGCCACTTGGGTAGGGGAGAGTAGAGATACCTAGAAGCCACCTTGTTCTCTCATAGATGCCTGTGTTGCCCCGACAGAGCCACTGCATGGTTTGGGGTGCTGTCAGTGGCCCGAGGCCCCTCTGCTGCACCCTTTCCTGCCCATGCAGTCATCTGGGGGAGTGCAGAGTCAGCCCACTGGCATCTACTCTACGCCAAGTACACCCTGAGGGCCTTCAATGAGTACCTACCGCAGGCAGATGAGGTGCTGAGAGACCTGAGATGTGCCAGGTGGGACCCTCCCATGAACATGTGTCAAACCCAGTGTTAGGGACAGTTTCCAAAGCCATGGTGATAGCTTAGTGCTGAGCTATCCTGAAGCCCATTCTATTCATAGAGGAAAGCAGGGAGGGCTTCTTAGAGGAAGTGGAAGTGGAGCTGTGCCTTAAATGAAGGAACTGTGTCTTAAATGACATGAACTTGGCTTATTTAACCTTCACAACAGCCCGGCTAGATAGGCCATGCTCTCAATTTGTTGTCTAGAAACCAAGGCTCAGGTAAAAAGCAAAACCAGGATATCCACCCCCCCATGCATTTGTTAATAATTTCTTTTATTATTATTCATACATTAAATCATTTCTTTATCTGACACATGTTCCTAACTGGCCCTGGGTGCTACTCAGTGTGGCTCAGAGAGCTTCTATCCTCCCTTCAAACTTCTATTTTTTTTTTTTTTTTTTTGTTTAGGGTTGGACGCATTCACTTGCCAGAAAGAGAGAGACAGAGAGACAGAAAGCGAGACATCACCCCCCAGGGGGGATGGCCACGCTGCTTCTCCTCCATTCTCCTCTCGGGATCTTGGGCATGCACGCACACGCGCCTGGCGTGAGTTTAAGCCACCGGGTCCGGTACTCGAACCATGGTGGACTACATGGGAATCCAGCGACATAATCATTACGCTAACTGCTGGTCCCCCCTTCAAACTTCTTATCTCTGTATGGCAACCACAACTGTCAGCTTTGTAGCTGAGCCTCAGCTCCCTCCTCACCAGCCCTCCTCCAACCCTTCATCCCAAGCTGTTCTAGGAGTGGCCCACCTCCTCTGAGTCCAGATTTCCCCAGGACAACAGCCTTGGGATAGCTGAACAAAGTCCAGTCCATGAGGCCAGAGCTTGGGCATTTCCACTACTAGGCAGGCCACTGGGAAACCCAGGGATTGGCGACGTGGGAGGTCTTGTCCCAGAGAAACCTGGGCGCTCAGGAAGTTGGGTGGAGGCTGGATCAGACCTGGCTCCAGCAGAGTTCTTCTCCTGGGCAACCTCGGCGGCTTCCCAGGTTCCTGCGCCTCCAGTCTTTCCTCCCTAATGTCTTTTCTTCCCCCTAAGCTTGATGGAGCCCTACTAGTCAGCCACCCAGCAGGTCTACTATCTACCAACAAGCCCTTGAGGGAAGGGACATTCCTGCAGCCCCCAGCTTACTGAATCGTACTGTGCTGAAGAAAAGGAGGAGAAACAGAAGAGTTAACCTTCCAGTTACAATGGGCTGGCCTCTCGTGTCCCACAAAAGCCCTCATCTGGCCCTTGCTCTCCAGCTTCAATTCCTCTTGATCTGGCCGAGTTCCAGCCAGGAAGCTGGGCCCCTGGACGGCAGCCCAAGCCCTTCCAGAGCATGTCCTCCGCTGGGCAGTCCTGCTCCAAAACCTCCTCTGCCCCGGGTCAGTGGACCGTGGCCTAGAGACAAAACAGAAGGAAAGAAAATGTAGCAGCGTCTTTTTCTTCAAGTAAAACTTACTCAATTTAAAGTTGTCTTCACTTAGAGCTACTCTTTCCTATCGGAGTGTGCATGGGTTACAATGTCCTTTCCTTTCTGAGCTCATGGCAACAGTAAATTTGTGTTTGTTTAAATCTTTATTCCATAGAACTAAAATCTGGCAGCTCTATGTTTGGTCTTCCTAATTAAAAAAAAATTTATTTAATTTATTTATTTTAATTTGACCAGAGAGGGGCAGAGTGAGAGAGAGAAAGAGGAAAAGTGAAAAAGCAAGCTGCCAGGTCTGGGACTTGAACCACACTCAGCCATATGGGAGTCCCGTACCCTTAACCACTACACCACCTACTGGTCCCTTGATCCCAAAATTTAAGGAGTAATAGCTGGAACATTCATTCTATTCTTCTCTCTACTTTTGGGCATGTTGAAAATATTCACATATGGGACCAGCAGATGGCGTAATGGTTATGACGCTGGACTCCCATGTAGTCAGTGGTTCAAGTCCCAGACCTGGCAGTTTAAAACTCACTCTGGGTTCATGTGTATGCCTGCCCAAAATCTCAAGAGGAGAATGGAGGAGAAGGGATTGTGATGTGGACAGTCCCCTTGGGGGATAATTTCTCTTTCTGTCTCTCTGGTAACCACACATGCCCTATAGCAAAAATCGCTCTGAAAAGAAAAAAATACACACACACACACATTTATGTTTTTGTTTAAAGTCTAGATGGATTAAAAAGTTAAACCACAAAAGGTTGGATCAGCAGATGGCATAATGGTTACATTACTGGACTCCCACGTAATCGACCACGGTTCAAGTCCCAGACCTGGTGGCTTAAAACTCACGCTGGGTTTGTATACGTGCACGTATAAGAGTGAAATCCTGAAGGCTTAGGATGGAGAGATCCATCTGTGTGAGGTCTCCCAAAGCTTCTAGGTCAGGGACCAGCCATTAGAGTAATGGCTATGTCGCTGAACTCCCATGTAGTCGACCGCGGTTGAAGCTCTGGACCTGGTGGCTTAAATTCATGCTGGGTGCCTGTGCGGGTGTGCCCAAGATCCCGAGAGGAGAAGGGATTGCGGGTGGCCACACCCCCGGGGGTGATTTCTTGCTTTCTATCTCTGTCTTTTTGGCGAGCACATGCCCTAAGGCAACCTCCCACCCCCCACCCCCCCAAAAAAAAGGCTTCCAGGTCATTCGTCTGTCTTCCAAAGGCTCTGTGATTGCCTCCTCACCACCTGTGATCACCCCGCACCGTCCTCCACTGGAGGTGCTCACTTTACCACATTTCTGCCTGCCCTGCCCCAGTTATCCACCTATGGGAGTTAACGGCCTATGGGTCCTCCTTGCCTTCTTTTTTTTTTTTTAAGTTATTTAATTTTATTCATTATTCTTATTTTTAAATTTGGTATAGGATACATATACGAGAGAGAAAGAGAGAGAGAGAGAGAGAGAGAGAGAGAAAGGAAGTCCCAGGTTTCGGACTTGAACTGTGATTAGCTATGTGAGAGTCCAGGACCTCAAACACCATGCCACCTGCTGGCCCCTTGGCTTCTCTCTTAATCCTGTTTCCAACTTCTGCCCTTCTGTTAATTTTTGAGTCTTAAATGTATTTTTGAATAATGCAGGTAGTTAGTAGGGACATAAAATACCTACCCTTGGTGTCCTGGGGACGGCCCTGGGCATGGAGAGAAGACATGGGAAAGGGGGTCAGATAACTATTTAGGAAGCATTCTTCCCTAAGACAAAAAGGGAAACTTTACTTTCCCCTTTTCTACAAGTGTTCAGTTTATCTCATCCCTTTTGGCAACTGGGTTCCTTATCCTGACTCCACTTTGGGCGCTGCCATTTCTGCAAATGATCCCCTTTATAAAACTCAATTATGGAGAATGCGGGCATCGATCCCGCTACCTCTCACATGCTAAGCGAGCGCTCTACCACTTGAGCTAATTCCCCAACCATGGCAAGCTTCCGCCGTGGGCTCGCATTGTGACTCACGTCATCACCGGCTGGCCATCTTGCTATCCCATTGGTTCCTTTGTAGCTCCAAGCTCCACGACCATGATTGGTTTGGCTTAATTTAGTTTTTAAAAAGCATTGGTCACTCGGATTGGTGGCCACAAGCGTCCGTCAAGCGGAGGCCTTGCTGTTGCTACGGCGTAGGGGAATCCAGTCAGGTTTCTCTCGGTTTCTGATTTGTTTCTCAGACTCCCGGGTCCTAGAGGTTCCGGATCCGTCAAGTCCATGGGAAAAGAATGCGTTCCTTGCTCTTGACTGACGAGACTCATGAGCCAATCGGAGTAGATGCAAGTGAGCCGCTGAGCGACCCAATAGATTGCAGGGGGCGGGAGAAGGAGCCCAATGAGTGTGAAGCTGGGGGCGGAGTCTTGACTACGATTGGCTGCGAGGCGGCCAGAGGGAGGGCGGGGGGAACTCAAGGCCTGCTTGATACGTCCGCCATTTTGGGCGCTTCGCTGATGGTGTCGGTGAGCGCGTTTCCCGCCTGAGCGCAACTAGCGGCGGGTCGCAGGCACCTCCAGGTAATAGGAGGAGGGGCGGCGGAGCGGGCCGCAGCGCCGGGTGCGCGGGGCGCGCGGGCGGTGGGGCCCTTCAGACCCGTGCCTCCGAGGCGCGGGGAGGGAACGTCCCGGCCCCTCTCCCCTCCCCCCCGGAATTCGCTGCTCCGCGGGCCGGGGAGGCACGGCGCCGAGGCC